ACTCTTGTAACATATAAAAGAGTGTACTTTCACATAATATTTTACCTATAACTCTCTATAAAATTACTGGAACTGAAATTAGTGATAAGGATTAAGAAGTTTATCTTGTGCTATACAATATCATGAATAGGACCAACAAACGATTTCAACTTCTTGGCCTCTAATTCTTCTCTCTCCTCTCTTCTCCTTCTCTTTTCCTCTCTTCTTCTCTAGCAAGGTGGCTAGAGAATTTGATTTGGCAAAATGGTTTTATATATTTTATTATTTAAAAAATCAATAATTTGACTTGGCACCGTAGCATTTAACTTTATATCACCATTACGTTGCCAGAGAAACTTTCATATTCTTTTAGAATCTTTTTCATCTGACATATGGAACTACAGTAGCGTCTTACGGTGTCGTAGCTCATGCTCATTCTCCCCCTCCACCTAAGAGCTCAATGTCACGGTGTTGCAAATCCTGATGCTATGACACTCATAAAGTAATCTTTTATACTTGAAATTTCACTTATCTCATATAATTTTTGACTTATCCAAGTTTCTCTTAAATAGTCTAAGACTTATACTTACCAATCAAATTAAAATTAGCAATCATTAACAAAAATTATTTCTACTCCAGATGACGGATATTAAAACAAGTCTCTGTGCACACTTCTTGGGCCTTTAAGTGCCAAGGAAGAGTCATTTGGGTCATAATCTTCGTGAACTTAGGGTTGGCCAAGTCCAAAGGGTTAGGCTCTCAACCTCAAGGGAAGGATGCATGGATCTATATGAGGGCCTTAAATTCTGCCAAGAATGACTCTTCGTTTTAAATGATATGTGCAAGTCAGATTCATAACCTGAAAAGTGCCCATAAGGAGTAAGGTGACAACCTTGGTTGAGCTCCTATTGTTGGAACCAGTTAACTCCAAGCTATTCTACCTAAACCTGCTAGATACATGTGAAAGACCTACATAATATGCACGAGTACACAAAATATTTGTGTTACAATAAAAAAATCTAATAATTTATTTGTTATAACATAAAAAAATTATCTTACCAAGCATGAATTTTAGGCATCCACTTGAATTTTTTTTCTTCCCAATTTAACCCTTGGTGACCATCCAAATCAAGGTTATACCATTTTCATAAGATATCAAGCTCATATAAATAGTCAATATTTGTTACTTGCTTGAAAATTCATGATGCTAGAGTGTGTTTAATATCTAAGTTTTCAAACATGCTTACAAGTCTTTCATCTTCGATCATTTAAACTCATATTGAATCATTTGTACCATCCAGGGGCGGATGTAGTGTGGGGGCACTGGGGGCACGTGCCCCCACAGCCCCTTTAAGTCAACAGCCACAGTAATTAATTTGGTAATATATTATAGTATTAATATAATTTATTTATTCATTATTTACTTAATAAACTAAATAAATGATTTGCTTTTTTCATCCCTAACACATTAAATATTTCACTTTTCCCCAAAACTTTCCCGCTAACAGCTATCCCGTCCGGCTTTTCTTCTCATCTCACACGCTAATAGGGACTATTCTCGAGGTTCGTTCTTTTCAGCCCTAAGAACTCTTGCAGCCAGCAGTACTGCTCCCATCTGAACCACCACCGGCGTTCTCCTTTTGTACAGTATGTGTGAGAGATATTGTATTGAGTGTGGAGAGTTGCTGAAAAGAGTGGCTTTATCTTTGTGAGAGTGATGAAGGAGTTTAGAACTTATAAGGTTTGGTCGAGCATCAGCTAGGTGGAGGAGATTACGTGCAAACTAAGAGAGGAGGAGTTAGAGCAGATTCGCTTGGCATAGTGGCAAGGAAATCAGTGACTGTATCACAAAGTTTGACTAAATCAAAGGTCGCTTGGCATTCACTGTGAAATCCTTAAAAAAAATTTAGGACTTTTTGGCATATAGTATTCAACAATTATTTCAGGAGTCATTATAAGTCTAAATCATAAATCGTCTAAGAAAAAAATTTGTAGTGTAGTGCTTTAATTGCCCTAATTTTTTCATATATTTGGACACTAGTGAAATATCTTAAGAAATTAACACCTTTCGGTACAAGTGAGATTTTTGGGACTTTCAGGTATCTATTTTATAAACTAATTTCACCAGAATGTTCAGATATGATTAGCTAATTTATGTATACATTTTTATAATTTTTAAATTTTCAAATTTAAAGATATAAAAATTTTAAATAAAATTAGTATTTTAATACTAAATAATTATTTAATATTTTATTATAATATCCAAAACCACTATTATATAATATGATTAAATTTTTGCCTTTTTCATTTTTCCCAATTAGAGAACGGAAGGAAAAAAATTAGAAGAAAAGTAAGGAGAGTGAACATAGAAATCTAATTTTGGAGGTCTTAGAGCCATTTTTGTCCGTCGGCCCAGTTAAAAAACTTGTTTGTCTTAAGATAAGTCATATTATTCTCATTTTAATTTTTAAAAATACAAAATAAATCAGGAATAAATCCCCTTAAATTTTTTTTTTTTTTTTTGGCAACACCGAAATCATAAAGTTGAACCTATTTTTCGTTCAATAAATAATGAAAATATTTTAAATACTTTAAAGATTTACATACTAATGTAATACAAATATTAAATAGTTAATCTTTTTTCCTAATAGTAAAATACCGTACCTATATGCTTTATTAATTAATTGGGTTAAACACGACAGGTCGAATCCCAAAGCGTGGGCCAACGTGTGCCGGACGCACAAAGGAAGCGCAGACGCCCACCATTTCGGCAAATTATTGGGTCAGGTGACCGAACGCAGAGATAGGTTCGGATAATAATAAAATATTATTTTAAAAGCCCACCATTTCAGCCCACGGTTTCCGCAACCAATCATAAGTCATAACCAAATTATAAAATAGGTGGCGTCCCCGTAGAAGAATAATCTCAATTATTAATATTACAAAATATTAAATACATATTAATTTATTAAGTAATGCTGCTCTCCATTTTTTTTTTAAAGAAAATTAAATAAAAAATTAATCGAGGTGACAGATCGCCTAGTATAAGGTAGATAGATATAGAACTAAATAAATTTGCCTCGAAATAATATAAATAATATTTTTTATTAAATCTGAATGAAATTATGATTCTTAATATCCATGTTGCCGACCTCATATATATAATGGGATACAAAATTGTTATTATTATTGTTATATTAAAAAATAAGATGGTGTTACAGTATTTTTCTTCAAAAATCTATAATATTTTAAATGGTAATTTATAAAAAAATTTAAGAGTAATGGTACACTTTTTAAAAGAAGAAAAATTAAGGTGGAAATCTCAAAAATTAAATCTGATACCATATGAACTTCGATTTCAGCAAATTTACACTCGAACTGAACGATTCGAAAATACCAACCCAACGACACCAAACTTGACCCAATTCGAGCTCAAATGGGTCCAAATCGAAGACCTGAAGTAGGGGTGTCAATATTTGACACGACCCGAAAACCCGACCCGAAAATTTCGGGTTAGGGTCAACCCGAACCCGAATCGGGTCGGGTTCGGGTTAACCCGTTGACCCGAAATTGACCCGAAAGTGACCCGATTTTGACCCGAAAACCCGATTTTTACCCGACAACCCGATTTTGACCCGTTTTTTACCCGAAAAGAGGGGATTGACCTGTTTTTGACCTGAAAATTAGACATTTTTTTGTTGGAAACGGGTCATTCGGGACTAGTCGGGTTGACCCGGTCCCGAAGCGGGTCGGGTTAGGGTCAGGAAAACTGACCCGTTTTTAAAAACGGGTCGGGTTCGGGTTGACCCGAATGGTGCCGGGTCAGTTTCGTGTTCGACCCGAACCCGACCCGTGACCCGAAATTTACACCCCTAACCTGAAGTGCATTAGGAAGGTTCAAACAATAATTTGGATTACCGAATAGTTTCTAAACATGTCATGCTTTTGTCGAATCGAGCGACTCAATGAGACAAATCAAACGAGCCCAAGATCACCAAAATTTAATATCATAAAAACATTCAAATGCTCAATAAATGATCCATGATCAACAGATTCAATATTGGTCATTCATTCAAACACTCCCAATTTATTCATAATCTTTCTCCTATTAACTGGTTATGTAATTATCATAAAACTATAAATAGACCCTCATTTTTTTTATAAAAGGGTCCCGAAGCAAAGAGGGAAAGAAGAGAGTAGAGAAAGAGAAATCAAGTGCCACCAAGCTCCTCCTCACTCCTGATTTCTATTTGATGTCACACTTATGCTCTTCGTCGAACTTCCCCCTGCCGACGGACTTCTGATTGTCGCTAAACTTTCGTAGGACTTCTACCGGACGCCGGACTTTCGGCCGTCGCCGGACTTTTGCCCGTTGTCAGACTTCTGCAAGTCGTCGGAATTTTGTTGGACTTCTACCGGAAGCCAGACTTTTGCTTATCACCAGATTTCTACCCGACGGAGGACTTCCGCTCGTTGTCAGCCTTTTGTCCGTCACAGGACTTTCGTCGGACTTCTACCCGATGCCAAATTTTTTCCCATTGTCGGACTTCTATCCATCACCAGACTTCTACCCGACGTTGGACTTTCACCCGTCGCCGAACTTCTTCCAGTCATCAGACTTTTGTCGAACTTTTACCCGACATCAAACTTTCGTCCGTCGCTAGATTTCTACCCGCCGCAGAATTTCCAGTCGTCGTCGAACTTCTTCCCGTCGCTGGACTTTCGTCGTACTTCTACCCGACACCAAACTTTCATCTGTCGCCGGACTTCTGTCCATCATCAGACCTCTACCAGACGTCGGACTTCTGTCCATCGCCTAACTTCTACCCGTCTTCGGACTTTCGTTAGACTTCTATCCGACGTACTAATATTACATAATTTATATTACTAAAATATAAAAATGAAATATATTAATTTTTAAAACTCGACATAATTAAAGTTTTCTCTGATATCCAATTTTTTTTTTTTTGGGAAATAGATATCCCAATTATTGTTTGAGAGGCTTTAAAAGCGTCGTGGAGGAGCCAATAATTCTCACCTTTTCTCTCCCACAATCGCCAAAACCACCTCACTCAATCTTCTCCGATTAGGCAACTCCGGCGATGTTGGCCCATCGGCCCGCGCGGATCGTTCCGGCCCCGATCCCAAAATCCGGTAAGCAGTTACTGGACCGCGACGCCATGTTTAGCCCACTAGAACGCAACCCTCAGTCGCCGAAGGGCTGGAAGAAGAGAGAGGCCGAAGGCGTTGGGCTCGGCATCGTGGCTGCGCTGGAGAAGGCCCGACCGTCGAAGATCGTCGCCACTTCTCAGAAGTCAGCTCCGATTGACGTCACGCCGCCGAGGAACGAGGAGGCTTCGGCCGCTGTCGGAGAATTTCCGGTGACGGAGTTCCTCAGCTGCTGCAATTTATGCAGGAAGAGATTGGACGGGAAAGATATTTACATATATAGGTAATTAAGCCCTTCCTTTTTTAACCTTTTTCTTCTCTTTTTTAACCTTTTTCTTCTCTGTGAAAGATTTTCTGGTGGTGAGGATATAGTGTCTTTGCTCTGATTTTTTTTTTCCTTTTTGAGTTGATAAAATTTGTAAAATTAATCAGATCTTCTTTGGTTAAAGAGTCCGCGGTGGTTCAGGTTTTGATCATCATTAATCTTGTCCTAATTATTTTAGATTTTTGTTATTATTATTTTTAAATTTATTTTTAATTTTTTTATTATATATAGTGATGCGACTTTCATTCTTTTCTTTCAGTATAGATTATTCTATTTTAAAAAAAAATATATCATGATATTCTCCTATGATTTCTATTCAGACGAGAATAAAAATTGTCAGATTTACTTTGAAATTATTGCAGCACATTTTTTTCATATATAATATTAATCAAGAAAATTCAATGATTTTGAATCTCATTGTAAGATAAATTATTGATATCCCGAAATAATTATTTCTCTAATATATAAATTTTGATATTTGCAGAGGGGAGATGGCATTTTGCAGTGTTGAGTGCAGGCATCAGCAAATTATGAGCGATGAGTGCACGGAGAAATGTGTCTCCGGAGTTCTTAGACCGTCGGAAATCTCTACCTCACCGTGTTCCGGCGGCCGCCGCCGCCGGATTTTCTTCACCGGAATCATGGCGGCATAATCATGTATCTAAATGGAGAAAGGGAGAGAGAGAGAGAGAGAGAGAGAGAGAGATCTATATGGAGAGAGAGAGAGAGAGAGAGAGAGAGAGAGAGAGAGAGAGAGAGAGGAAGGTTTCTTCGGCAAAAGCAGAGCAATGGCAAGAGGCCGCATAGCTGTATAATTGCAAGATGAGATCGGTGTAGCCAAATTTTTGTCAATATAATTTTTTTTTTTTTAAAGCTTACTCTTTACGATGATGGATTTAAAGATTTATAAATTCTACTTATAATTATGGCTCCTTTTGCGGCGGCTTTCTTAATGTTTTTTAAAATAATTTTTTAGTATAAATATTTTATTTTAAAAAATTTTATTTAGAAAACATTAAAAAAATCATCCCAAATGAAGCCTATATCGTCGACGAATCATAAGACGGCAGATCTGAAGTAGATGGGATTGAAAGAAGAAACAGAAAGATAATTAGGATATTTAATAAGCAGAAAATTTTGAGATATATACCAAATAGGGAGAAATGAATCATTTGGAACTGTAAACAATATGATATAAACACTAGAACAGCTTATCTGGATTGACACAACCAGGATACAACTGATTTGCAATAACACTAACAATTGTAAAATTGATTGCAAATACTTATTTGAGGCCGCCGAGCATCACTGAGATGATCGCTAATTTGCTCGTCGCAAATATTTATCGACAAGATCTGCGATGATTAATTGTTGCAAATAGTTGTTGGAAGCTTAAGCTCGACGCGATCTTTTGCGACCGATGTAGGCGAAATGTTTTTTTGACATACATGAATTATGGGCTTCTTTATTCTCTACACCCTTGCAAGATACATAAACCAAACTACATCATATCATAATATATAGAAATTAAGGATAATTTCATAGAAATAGAACATTTATAACATAATTAGGTCAAAATGAATAAACTGATACAGCAGTTTTGAAAATAGTTATATAGTTATGCCTATACCACCTTGTTGCTAAAATTACTTTGAGATTTTTTTAATAAAAATTTATTTACATGGCTGAGCGAAAGAGATATATGATGGTGGTTGGCAGCACCTGAAGGAGCTAGATATTGGATATAGGTCAATTGTGAAGGTAAGAAGGCGATAAGGCGAGGTAGGAGTGAAGATTTAAGCTTCGGTTGGGACGGCTTTCTCATTTCTTCTTAAAGCAGCTTTTCAGTTCAAAATTTTTTATTTTTGAAGTAGAGTAGAAAAAGTTGGTTTAAGAAGCAATAAGAAAGTTGCCCCAAACGAAGCCTTAGTTCACTATAGGAAAAATATGAATTTCCACCAATTTGTTCATTAGAATATTCCTCGTCGGAAATAGCGACGGAGTTACCAACATATTTTGAAGTTTTTCCGATGGATTTGAACACCGGAAATGACTACGTGTCCCGTAGTGTTTATAAATTCGTCTAAGTGGATGAGATTGTGAAACATCCCAACGATATTCCGAAAGAGAAAAACAACAAAATGAGAAACTAGGGCATGAGCTTTTGCAACCATTCACAACAATCGGTCGCAATGAAACAGTATTAAGGCAGTGTGAGAATTTGACCAACTATGCTGACTTATATGCATGCAGTGATATATGAATCTCTATTTCTATTAATATTTGAGTGCTTCAAATTCTGTTTATTTATAAGCACAAAATTTTAGTGTAATATAAAGAACATGATGAATTTTGCATTTTAAAAATTGAATTTGAAAGCAAACAAATTTTGCTGGAAAAATCGATCCCTCCTTGATAAACTGGTGCTCCAAATAAACTTGTCATCAAACTTCTTAAAAATATCTTTTTAAATTGTGATAAAATTGTAATAAATGATTCACAAAATCCTTCATTAAAAAAGGGAATTTAACAACAATAAGTCATTCACAATTCGATGAAAATTTGAGTTTGTATGTCTCATAATGTCTGAAATTGAAGAAATATTTTGTTGTTTTGCCTCTTGGGGAAATATGATTGAAAGTTTCATTCGAAGCAAATTTATATAAGCTAGTGACCTTTCATGATTCTAGTTTGCGGATACTGATTCTGAGGTAAAATTCCAATATTAGATTTTCATCTCCATTTTCGTCTCTTCTTGTCCTCCGATGGTCATTAAAAGTTTATGATGTTATATATTTGGCAAACTATTTATCTTTTAAACCTAAAAGGATATATATTAGATTTTAGATTATCAACTTTGAAGATTGTTCAAATTTTGTTCTAACATTGATCGGAAAAATGATTGGCACTTGATCAAATATTCCTTGAAGCTTATTTAAAACTTGTTTGCTTTACGAAATCAAGATCAAACAATAGCCAAAGAAACTTCAATTATGTGTTGAAGATGGTTTGATCATGGTATAAATCAATGATGGAAACAATATTCAAATGACTTCTAGAGCAAGGTTAGTCAAAATTCAAGCAAGTGTTTAATGAAACTTCGAGCAAAGTTCAAATTTAATATTTTTATATTGTCCCTTTTTTTGTGATTGACTCATTTAACTTCTCTTGCTTTATATGAAAATATATGGTTGGGTAACACATAATTATGAGAGTGCGATGAAGAAAATTCTTACTTGTTGATTCATTTGAAGCTAATAACACTATTGTGTTGAATATGGGAGGTGACACACCATCATGCATATAGAGAGGTATTACATTACTTTTATGTGATTTTATGTAGATGTTATGTTGCTTTTAGTTGTTGTTGTGTATTATTTTATTAAAATCTGATAGTGTGGATCAATCGGTTGTGTTGTTGATCACTTAGACCTCAATTATGTTGATTGAGCTCGATATTGATGAGTTCTTTGGGGTTTGCAAGGGGACAACGTGCCCCTTGCTTGGGGGTGCATCACCGTGATGTTGTAAATCTTGTGCCAAAGCATTCTAGACCATCTTTGAAATAGATAACACAACGCCCCAGTGTTATAGTTTCAACACCACAGTGTTGTGAGCTTGACGCCACTGCATTGTAAGTTCAACACCACAACACTATAGAGGCATTTTGAGACAAATAAGCTAACATTGCGAGTCAGTTGAGTCAATTTTATCTTCATTTTCAAGAGTTGCATCCAATTGAAGATTATGTAACTCGTCAGAAACTTTTATGTTCCTATTTGAAGACGGTGGGCATTAGTGTGAAGTGAGGAAGAAAGTTTGAGTGTGAAGATATGCACCATTATATTTCTCTTATTTTTCATTGTGGATTTCTTTGACGCAACACAAATCCAAATTTTTTTCTCATTTTAGGTTTTCTTCACTTTAAATCTTGATATTCTTTCTTTCCGCTTTTTTGTTTCGTTCTCGATATACTTCTTAGATCCATGCAATGCTTGACGGCTTAAACTCACAATTACAAATAAAAAAAATGCATCGATGATCTTAAAAAATAGATGATACGTAGTTGCTTTCAGCTGATGTGTAGTTGATATGGTTTTTTTGTCTTCTAATGCTGGAGTAATTCTGTGCAACTTAAAGAATAATAATCTGCGAAATGTTTCAACAGAAAAAATTAAGCTTTTTCGTGAATATAAAATTTCTAAACATTTTATATTATTGATATGACCCTTCTGAAAAGAATAGGATTATTTTATTATTGTTTATTTTGTTTTACTAAATTTTTTAAATTTGACAATAATGGCATCTTTCATGGCCACTTATTTTTGGAAGATGGATCTATATAAATATTTTGATATTGTTTAGTGTTGAGAAAAACAAAATAATAAAGATTAGAATTTAATGTCTTTAACTTTACATCAATAGTATGCACACATTTAAAAAAATATATATATTTACATGAGAGGCATAGAATTTTAATGTTAAAAGTAGAGATATAGAGAGAGAAACTATGGGTGTAATTCAATACAAAATAGTTATAATGACCCAACTTAGCAATTGAAATGATTTGCCCCTTTGTGTAAATGCGGGCAATGAAGATTAGTGTCAGTAAATAATGAATTTTAGGCAATGGACGACAATAAACATCGGTGCTTGCGTTTGATGGGTTTTAGGCGATCGAGCTAGAGCATCGAACGTAAGTGAGACAGACAGTAAGTTGTATGAGGACGGTAGTCCATTGAGTATATAAAGTATGATGTCCTCTCGATCCACATTGGAGCCGGAGGCAGCGATTGTGTCCACAATGGTTTTGATTTTTGCTAGATATTGCTGCATAGAGCAATCTTTCTTTTGAACATGGTGAAGCTCGTTCTTGAGTTGAATGACTCTTGAATGGCTTGCCGATTGGAGGCGTTTTTCCAGAGTGGTCCATGCCTCATGGGCGGTGGAGAAGGAGATCACATAGGGTAAAATCGAGGGAGAAATTGTAGAAAGAAGGGCTGAGATTAGGTTCTTGTCTATGAGATTCCAACCTGTGAAGCTGAGATCGATCGGATTAGAGGGACAAACAGATGATCCGGTGAGGTGTCCGGAGAATCCGTTTGCGGTGATATGCTGAAGCAGTTGGAGCCGCCAAATAGTGTAGTTGTCGGCAGTGAGTTGAGTCAGTACAAGGTTCTTGAGGTTTGATATCAAGAACTTTAGAGGTGCCGGCACGGTGAAGTCCGTGAGGGAGGAAGAAGAAACGAGGTTGGGAGTCTGACGAGCCGTCGAGCTTTGATCCATCATAGCTGGCTCTGATACCATGTCAAGAACCCAGTTGGCGGAGAAGACAGCAAGAACGAAGAAGAGAGAATGAAGATGGAAAGAATTATCTTATTATTAAAGTGAACAGTACAAGGACTATAAGTAGAAAAGCTGAGGAATAAGCTGTTACAGAGGTACAAATTAACTAAACAGAGTTGCACATATGTGTTGGCTTATAAGTGTCAGCCTATTATATTAGACGTTATGATTGGGAGATGAGGAGTTACAACATATATCGAGTGTTAGGATAGGTTCCGATTATCAAATAATGGGTAATGATAGATATTACTGTTAGCTTCAATCAATAATCAATACCAAATAAAATTCTATCATTTTAATGGCAAAATGTTATCTTACATAGTGACCAAACTCCACAAGTTGTCCAAGATTTTGTAGCCTACGAAGATCCAAATGCGCTCAAATCACACAATTTTGCTCTCATTAGATTTATCTCGCCGAAACACACTATCTTAATAGTAAATTTTATAATTATAGTATTGATGGCTTCTAAAATATTTTTAAAATATTTCGAGTTTGATTATGAGTGCTTTTAAGTCCAAATATTTTTAGAGTCCTTGAAAATTTGTGACCCAAAAATTATAATTAGGAGGGACTTGGACTTCTAAGTCTTCATCATTACTTGAGAAATCAACATGGATGTTCCTGTGGGGTTGTTGAACCCAATATTTCTTAGTCTTATCCTGGTCTACAACTTGTAGAATCTCTAAGCACCGACGACTTGATTTTCGATGTATTTTGTTCTTCAAAATTATAACAAGCCAAGCTTTAACCAACTTCAACTCGATTGATTTGCTTGTGAGTCAGCTCATTTAAAAAATATTAATATAAAATATACTTAAAAATATATTAGAATTAAGGAGTACAAATATAAAGTTATTATAAATAAGAAAAAACTATATCTCACTTTTTTGTAACAAATGATTATTTATTATTTGTCTTCTAATTTCTAATTATTTTTATAATTTTATAAGATTATTTATTTTTTACGTTGAAATTAATTAATTTTTATATGATAATTGATTAGGTCACAAAATAGCCTGTCACAGTTTCAGATTTAGCAAATATAAATAAAGAAAATGCTTAATTTTTTAAATATTGACCAGTTGATTAAATCTTACGGCATCGAGTTTTATTCAGTAAATGATAAATAATAAGACAAATTAAAAAAAAATTGTTCTTTTTTAATTATTATTATAATTAATGAATTTATCTTATACTGCCCATAATATATAATAACTAATTGTGATATGCATTGCACTAATCTCAAAATAAAATTAATGACTTTGAAATAAATTTTAATTAAAGTTTGATCAAAGTATCATGACTATTTTTTTTTTAATAAATTAAGATATCTAGATTAAATTTAATTAGCATGAATCGTCGAGTCATTAAATTTATATTACAATGAGTATAATATATAAATAGTTAATCAAGATTACACTCATCTTGAAATAAAATTAATGATTAAGACAACATTATTATTCTGACTCAATTTTCTTTTTAAATTAAGGTTTAATTTGGGACTTTTTTTACTATTTTTAAAACAATTATTTAATACCAAAATTTTTTGAAAGAAAAATTTCTAACAAAAAAACTGTTTAAATTGTAGTAAGAAAAGTGTCCTAAATGAAGTCTAAGGGTTTGTTTGGGACGGTCTTTTTACTGCTTCTTAAATTAGCTTTTCTAGTATAAAAATTAAATTATTTTACTAAAAATCTGTTTTAAGAAACAGTAAGAAGACTGACCCAATTGAAGCCTAAGAGCATATCCAATCGAAAATCTCATTTTTCACTCCAAAATACCGTGATTCATCTCCAATCGAACTCTATTTTTCACCCTTTTGCAGGTAACGGTCGCCTCTTCTTTCCCGCCGCAAGTTTGGTAGATAGGTAAAAATAGTGGAGATGAACAATGCTATGCCAATATTAGCGTCCCACTGTTCACCCGCAGCCAAATAGTGGAAATTTTGCGGTTCGGCTGGAGCTGACCAGGGACGCCATTCAAGCGTTTGAAGTTCTGACTCCCTCGACCATCCAGCATTGACAAGTTTAATCATTTGATATCATTTGTGCCTAAGGCTTCATATTTATTGTTTTTTCAAATAATTTTTTAATAAAAAAGTTCTTGTTAAAAAATTAATGTACAAAAAAAAACTGTTTAACATCAACCAACAGCTACCTCTTAAGGTTGGGATTGAGAAACGATAACATAAAAAATAAAAATCAATAGAAACAGCAGCCATCCATTAAGGCTTCCTTTGTGTTGACTTTCTTAATGCTTTAAAGCCGCTCTTTAGTACAAAAATTTTTAGTTCAAAAATTTTTTTTGCAAAAAATCTAATTTAGAAAAAAGTAAAAAAATAGTACAAATAAAACCTAAGTCAAATTCTTAAGTGAGTTGCTACATCAACAAAAAAAAAATTACATGACAATCTTTATTGATATGAACCATATATAAAGGCTTCTTTTGGAGAGAAATTATTATGTGAGGAGGCCAGACTCAGAGCACCATCTAGAGACCAACCAGAATACGCCACATCACCGTTACTGAGCCTTGATACTGAACGGTACCGAGCAGCTCGATAGCGAGTGAAGGGGTAACGTGATGCATTCTGTTTGGTCTCCGAATGATGTTCGGCATCCGCACAAAATGATTAATTATCTTTTGGGTTTAGCGCCTGCTGCTTCAATTATCGGCACATTTAGCATCTGCTTCAAATATTTCAGATTTTTCAATGTAATCAATATACTAGATTATCGGATTTCATAAATAATCTTGATTGGGGACTTACCTCAAAACCTTCATGCCTCTATTTGGGATCAGATTATTAAGTTTACTATGTATGATTCTTCCATTTCTTGCTATTGGCTTGGAAGAGAATCCTTTGCTGAAAGGCATTACATTCTCTCATGTTTCATAAGGTTCCCAAAATTGCTTGGCTTAAACACATTTTGTTTAAAAATTAAACTATTAACTATTCTTTTCTTGCCTGAAAATTATTAAAGGTGGACTTAAAACTACTGATTGTCTTTTAATGAGAGGTTTTGATGAATCCTATTTGTGTGATATGCAAAAATCACCATGAAGGTCACATTTATTTTTTGATTGTGGTGAATCTTTCAAGCTACTTAAAAGATGTATTCCAAATAATGAGTTTTTTTTTCACTTGGGTGGATCTTTGAACCAAGTTTTGAATTAATCTCATTCTATAAATTGTAAAATTACTAAAATATTTTTCCTTCTTGTTGTTCACATTTCTAACACTGTCGTACGAATAGAGACTACGAAGAGTGAGATCTAGATCGGCGGAGCGAGATGCTGTATTTTTCTTCGTATAAACGGACAAAAGTAAAAAAGACGTCGAGATGGGTGGCTTCGGCATCAGGGCTGCTGGCTGATTCAGCGTGGAGAGATCTACAAAGATCGGCTAGGGCATCAAACAATGAGATAAGCTGCCGTGTTTAACCAGTGGTCTGTAAATGCTACTACAAAGATTATGAAAACTTTAATATTTTGAAGGTGAATTTAGCCGCGGTTAAAACTAATGTTTATACCTATCTATAGTGACGGTGCGAAATCATTAACTTTTTAGCAACGCATTGCCAAGTCCCAATTAAGTCCTAGATGAGAAAAGTGGAGGGTTGCATAAGGTAGTCGATAGCCAGCATAAAACTTATCGAATAATCATGACATGAATACTTTAAAAAATAGCAGCCCCACATAGTAGGACAAAGGCTTGATGTTGTTGTTCCTGCCTGTTATTGTTCACATTTCTGCTTATTTTATCTGACAAGAAAGAAATAATTAGATATTTAGGAATAAGATGTCGAATGATCACTCCTTGAGTGAAAATATTCTGCTTTCCATTTGACATAAAAGTTAAAAAAAAAAAAAAGAAATTGTAGGCTACTCTGCCTTTTTATTAATTTTATTTTACAATATTTGCTGATTAATTTCTATCATTCTCTATTGTTATACAGAGGCTCATGATTGACTGATATTTTTAGGAGCTTTTTTTTTTATCGAAAATCACAAGAAATTTGCTTGCGAATGAACCAGAGATGATCTCTTTATGAAATTCTTTCTATTATATGAATTATTCTGCTAATCTCGCCATGAAGGCCTGCCTTTTTTATTGCTTCTTTTAAGATCTAATGGCAACTCTCACTGCACAGATTTATATAAGATATTAATCCTTTTGGCCACCAAACGATGACATCGATGAGATCATTGATGACTTATCAGACTTGGTATTACGCTTTCAGTTATGAATTACTGATTCTAATCTTAAATTTTGTAAAACTTGATAGATATTTGGATTGATCTTTTCACTATTTTAAGTATTATAGGACGTGTTAGTAAGAAAAATATCTCCAAATTTTCCTTCACTGATATACTCTAAGTTAGAAGAAATTATTGTGTGCGGAATCCGAATGCAATCAGATTTCAATCACCAAGCGCCACATCACTGGATGCTCTGGCCCCAGAGTGCATCTGCTGATGGGCAAGCGGTGATTGAAATCCGAATGCATAATTTCATGCGACAGAAATTAGTAATTATTGATAATTTATCAGACATTGCAAATGAAGATGTCGAAGATATGATAAACGATGGATCAAAAAATATATTTAGAACAGGGCAGACGGCATGAGTAATCATGATGAATATCTAAATAACCACCATTCATATGATCCTAATAATAATTTGAACATTATGAGTTGCTAAAACTAGATTTTCAAGGGAGAAAAAATAACTAATACAAAGAGGAAACCACGATTTATTTTCATAAACCCACCATTCCAGCTGAAAAAACATCTACATTAACATCAATTACAAGAATAATTCAGACGCTAATTAGCTTTCTAATGATCTAAATATCCTCTCACTAATAAAAAATAATTCCTCTTTATTGTCCCCCAATCAAACTCACACGAAACTATCACTAAGAATTACTTAACCCAAATAATTTTGTAAACACACACACATGTGCAAACACAGCTGCCATAATCCTTACAGTTCAAGCAGAAAGAATCGTTCAAAAACATCAGAAAACTATTATTTCGCTAAAACAGTGAACCTCTAATCTGAAGGCATGAGTTTGAACATTGAAAGAATTTTAAAAAAGAATGATCAATTTAATGGAAATTTGCAAAGATTTTCAGACGTTAAAAAAAAAATCCAATTAGGTTCTGCAAATCAAGTCATTAAACTAAAGAAACATCTGGTAAAGCACATCTAAGCCTGCTGTAATGTTAAAAATAGTAATAATAATGCATATATCATCTTCATGGCATAAGCATTACACAAAACAAGAAACTCCCCTTGATAGCATTGGGCTTCCCATAAATTTATAACAAGCTAAAATCACCAAATACATATCACATATATAAAAATCAATCCATAAAACCATAAAAAACAGAGGTGATGCAACTGAGAACTACAATATTAAGGTATGGAAAAAAAAAAAAGGCAAAAAACAGGCTACCAATACAGGAGCTGCAAAGGAACTGTAGCACAGGCAACAGAACGATGTTAATTCAAATGGTTTTATCAGTAGAAATGCTGACCCTGAGCAGGACCCATATTCTGAAACCCAGCATCATAAATAGCCTGGCTAGCTCCAGCACCTAATGGAAGACCTGCCTGCTTCAGGACCGGGTTTCCTTGGCCGGGCAATAGCGCCTGGCCAACTCCCATCTTACTAAGTGCCAATGCCCGCTCGTATGACAGAAAGTCCGCAGCCGAAAGTGTCGGAAAGGAGACAGCAGCAGGAGGTGGCAAAGGTTTGGAGGCTATTCCAGGTGGCGTGGGCTTACTTCCCCACGAACACTACAACAACAACAACAACATCATCATCAAGCCTTTGTCCCACTACGTGGGGTCGAATACATGAATCATTTTTCCCCATGAACACTACGGAGAATCAAAAAAATACAATTTGAATCCGCCAAATATTGAATACTGGCTACTGGAACAAAAAACATACCTTTATTGGCTTTCCACCAAGAATCCGACCATTAGACACTTGGATAGCAAGAGCAGCTTCAGAGTGACTACTGTACCTAACGAAACCAAAGCCCTTCTCACGTTGAATGCGAACTTCCTCAATCTGCCCAGCACCAAGGGCATGAAAGAGCCTATGGAGATCAACTTGGGTAACCTGAAATTTTGTATTTTTGTTTTCAAGTTTAGAGATGTGAAAACAGACAATCAATAAATGTGATGGATCTGCAGCATGCGCGGAAGAAAAAGGAAAGCAATATATGAGTAATCGTTACAAGTGGGGCAAGCAAATTACCTCTGGAGCAAGGTTTCCAACATAAACTGTTGTGTACTGTGGATTGTTCTCTGGAGCATCATCTTTTGCGCTATCAATACCATCGTCTACTGAAGCGCATTGTTATCAAAATCAATTTTATGAGTGGAATAAACTAAATGTTCGTGGCTAAAAACCAAGAAACACAAACAACAGATCGTTTTAGTTAAATGAAATCCAATATTTAAAAAAAAAAAACATTTACAAAACAAAATGAAAATATGCAGATCTCAGGTTCTACTGAGCACTAGCCAAATAATTGTAAGACAGTCAAATCCACTGAACTATGTTGAATTGAGGTGGAGAGAGCAGGGGAGGGACGAGGTTGATGCAGCCAAGATTTCCTGCTTTATATTTTCTTGTGTTTCTAGCTATCTTTCTCCTGCGACTTCTCAATTATCCATGTTGTTTGCTGAATTTCCCTTCTGTCTTCTCGTATTCCTGCTGTTGTTTGGTCTTCCCTAAGGGGTTGTTTGGTCTTCCCCATGCCGGGCATTGATTTTCCCTCCTGGCTCTTCATTTCCCCAGCTACCCCTTCGGTTTCCTTGCTGTCTTTGCTGTTGGCTACTCGTTTTTCCTCCTGTGCCTGCTCGGTTTCCCCATTTGCAAAAACCTATGCTAAATACTTTATTTCCTAATTAATTGAGCTAATTTGGAAGAACTTTGTCGTTGTTTTGGAATGCTTCTATTGGCTGTTTGGATGACAAATTTAAGTGAGCATTTAATATATTTACCCCCTTCTTTTTCTATATAAGGTGTTTGATTTCTTTGTGGAAAAAGAGAGAGACATGATGAATATTTGGAACGTGAAACATGCAAATTTGTCATAACTTGTGAGTTATCCTCAGCTACCTTCATTCTTATATTTCGTTTTGAACTACTACCTAGTCTTCTCTCCATGGTTCTCATTCCACATGTATCTTTCTTCTTAAAACTTTGATTAGTTGTAAGTTGCATTGTGTCCAGGTTTTTATTACAAGTTGTAAGTTGTGTTGATCTTTACAAGTTGAAAGTGGTGTTGTGTCTTGAAAGTTGTAAGGTGTTTTTTTATTCTAAGGTTGTGCTTGTTTAGTGAGTTGTATGTGTGTTGTCCATTCTATTATAAGTGGTGTTTTATCTTGTTTTATTGTTGTGTTTGTTTAAGTTATTTTGAAAGGAAGCATTTATTTGCATTCCAAGAGAAAGGAAGTGATTATTTGCATACTGAGTGTTCTCCTAAATTGATGCAGTCAAGGCCAGCTAGGGGTGTCAATTTTGGGTCACGGGTCGGGTTCAGGTTGAATCTGGAATTGACCCGGTACTATTGGGGTTCGAATCAAACCCGTTTTTGCAACGGGTCGAATTTCCGGACCCGAACCTGACCCGCTTCGGGTCTGGGTCAACCCGACCTGACCCTCTTTCCTACATGCGACAGACAGCGTGAGCCGCGCGGCAGCCGTTGCAACGGCAGTCCGGAAGCATGCAGCGGCAGCGGTGCCTGCGAGGCAATGACTGAGCGAACCGAGCGACGCGACGCGAGCAACGGCGACGCAAGGGCAGGCGGGGTCGCGGGGCAGCCGGGCAGCATGGCTAGGCAGGGCCACTGGGCAGGCGGGCAGCTTTAGGCAAGACCGGTCAGAGCAGGCATGGCCGTTTTCCAGGTCATTCCTAAGTTATTCCCGAATTTCCGGGTCAACCCGAACCCGACCCGGTTTTGCAAATGGGTTGATTTTCCGGACCCGAACCCGACCCATTTCGGGTTCGGGACAACCCAAACCCGAAATTTTTGGGTCGGGTTTGAGTCGGGATTTCGGGTCAGGTCCAATATTGACAGGTCTAAGGCCAACTATTTTATTTAAATTTTTTTTCGCTTATGCTTCTAGCTCTCTTTCTCCTGTGGTTTTTTGTTTTAACTACTATTCGCTCGGTTTTACTATTGTCTTTTCATTTTACCTACTGTCCACTTAGTTTTTCTATTGTCTACTCATTTTCCCTACTGTTGTTTGGTTTCCCCATGTGGCTTTTTGGTCTTCCCATGTGACTATTTTGTCTTCCCATGGTGACTGTTTAGTTTCCCCATGTGGTTGCTCGATTTCCTTGTTGTTTTATTGATTTCCCTGTTGCTGGATACTCGTTTTCCCTGTTGTTTTCATGGTTTCTCTGTTGTTGGTTGCTCGGTTTCTTCCCTTTGTTGATCCTCGTGCTGTTTACTTTGACTTGTCCATATATGGGCTGATTTGGAGGGATTTAGTGGTTGTTTTGGTGGCACATTTATGTGGGAAAATAAATGTCTTTCCTCCTTTTTCTCCTATAAATTGGGGCTGAATTTCTTTGTGAAAGAAAGAGAGATGTGAATGAATATTTGGAACGTGAAACCTACGGGTTTGTCATAACTTGCGAGTTGTCCTCTTCTACCTTCTTATATTTTGTCTCGAACTTCTATCTATTCTTCTCTCCAAAGTTCTCATTCCACTTGTATCTTTCTTCTTGAAATTTCGATTAGACATAAGTTGTGTTGTTTTTTTTTACAAGTTGAAAGTGGTGTCATGTCTTGTATGTTGTTTAACAAAAAAAAAGTCTTTTATGTTGTAATGAGTTGTTGTGTTCTAAGATTATATTTGTTGTATGAGTTGTATGTGTTGTCCGCTCTATTATAAGTGGTGTTTTGTACTAGTTTATTGTTGTGTTTGCTTAATTATTTTAAAAGGAAGTGATTATTTGCATACTTAATGTTCTCCAAAAAGGTTTAGGAACTTTAGGTTGCATTAGAAGCCAACAACGCAACGTCGTATCAAATGAAGAGGAGAACCGACCAGCTCTTTATAATAAGGACCGGTTTGACGGTTACCCTGTCGAACCGATGAATTGAGCTAATTCTATCCAATGCAATGTGAAACTGATTATTGAGGTATCCTGGACCATTTGTGCTACTGGTTCATAGTTGAACTGGTCAAATTGCATGCTCTAGTCCAATTTTTAAAACATTAGGTAGAAGTTTACAATTAAGGCGTTTCAACACTCCACACTCATGCGAATGAATGGGTGTTATCCATTACAAACCTTTCCGACAACTTCTGAAACACTACCCATAATAGTACTTTGGTGACAATATCCGCAAATTATTTTCTTGTGGCAGCTATCAAAGTGCAAATTAAATCATTGTTCAACTTTTCTTCAATATAAAGTATCAATTAATTTCAATATGCATAGTACAATCTTGTTCCACAACATTAAATGAAATATTGATAGCATACTTAGTATTGCAATAGAGTCTCACCGTACATTTCATTTAAGGGTATTGGTAGGTATTTATAACAAAATCTCTCTAGAGCAAAAAATTACTCATAAATATAATAGTTACTAATCATATATATATATATATCACCAGAATTTTTTGTGGATCATACAATCTACTAGGGATAATATAATAAGATTAAAAAAAAAAATCAAAGATTAGAATGAGCAAAAGCCATTTTAATATTTTCATAATCTCAACATAAAAATGTCATTTAAATAATTTTTCTAATCATTTACATAAAATATAATTTTAAATAGCTTATAAATATTTATTTAAGAGATTCAATTTAAGAATTTAAGCCAATCACTCCTAATTAGGTTCTTAACGTGAAAATCTATCATATCCAAATGGTTTTACAATTATATCCACAAGTTTATTTAAAGTGTTAATAAATTTAATAATTTTCTCTCTATTTTAGACCTGATCTCTAATAAAACGATGGTAAAATCTAAATGTTTAATCCTTGAGTTCTTAATAGGCTTTTTCAATCTAAATGTTTAATCCTTGAGTTCTTAAAGGCTTTTTCAATCTAAATGTTTAATCCTTGAGTTCTTAATAGGTTTTACAATTATATCCACTAGTTTTATCACACATTACTGGTGTATTAATTAATAAGATTCCAAATCAAACAACTACTTAAGCCAAATAAATTAAGCAAACTCCGATTTGCAATGTATTATGTCCCAGCAATAGATAGTGCAATTTGAGTTATGTTTCATACCTCACTAAGATACAACTAAGTAACCTATAAGTTGGCATGCCCTTGATGTACATTATTTATCTATTTTACATCAAAAAATTTTTGAATCGAAGTAATAAATCTCATGTATTATGTCCCAACAATAGATAGTGCAATTTGAGTTATGTTTCCTACCTCACTAAAGATACAAGTGAGTAACCTATAAGTTGGCATGCCCTTGATGTACATTTTTTACCTATTTTACATCAAACAAAATTTAAATCAAAGTAATTAATAAGATTTAATGTGATGTTATTCCTGAAATGTCAAATGCTTAGGATCATACAAACACACTGAATATAATATTAGAATGACTAACAATATGGTATAATACTGAACCTATCATACCTTTATTAAATTTTACATCGATTGGTTTTTCATTTAAGTCTTTGTCAACTTGAGTGTTTTGGCTCATAAAGGTACCTTCCCTCTTGAAGCATTCTATGTCAAATTTCTAAATGAATACTCTAGTGTATTTTATTTTACACAAAAAAAGTATTATTCTATTTTTGTTTACTCGGAAGCCTATGTAGTTGTTTTATTCTCCCGTCATAATCATTTCAAAATTTTAATTTATAATTTGAGAGAACTCTTAACACAAAATCATGTATAGTAGCAAACAAAATATCAACATAGATTAAGAGTTCTTTTTCTCCATTGTTTCCTATTAAAAGTCAAATTCTCATTTAAATCTAATAAGGAAATATCATTTCTAATATTTTCTAACCAAGTCTTTTTAGGCCTATCTCTACCTTTCTTAACACAAGTCAAATCTAATACATCTACTTTTCTAACCGGGTCATCATAAGGCTATCATTTTATGTGACCATCTAAGACGACTCTCTCTAATCTTATCTTCCACTAGAGCTACTTCGACCTTTTCACATATATGCTCATTTCGTATCTATCTCTAAGAGTAAATCCACTCATCCACCGGAGCATCCCAATCTTTGCAACACTTAACTTAATATTATGCTTCTCTTTTAATGGCCAACATTCTACCCCATAAAGCATTGCAGGTCTCACCACAATCTTATAGAATTTTTCCTTAAGTT